GACTAGAATCCAACTCGTCTTACCACCTGGTGGCGGTAGTGCTCCCTTAAGCTACTTACTAGCCACCATTAAACGTATTAGAAGAAGAAAATTTGTTTAGGAAATTTAATGTTCAAGGACACCACTTAAGAAAAATATTGTTTAATAGGAAAAGTAACAAGTGAAAAATGTACAAAAATAAAAAATACTGCATCCAACTAATGATTGTCTGTCTGTCTATCCCTTGCCTCACGGGCTTCATCCAGAAGAAGACACAAGTGTTGTTCCCGCTGTGTCCGGTTCAGTTCTTCATGTTCATTCAGTGCTGAAATAAGATGTTTCTTTACTGGACTCTTTTCTCTTTCTCTTGCCTAGAAAGAAGAAAAAGGTGGTTAATTCAAGCTACATACTATTTTTGAATAAATGCATAAAACAAAGAAAGGTGCAGCTAACAGCTATATTAATAATAAGAACCTGATAAAATAAGAAAATGAAAAATAAATAGATTTAAAAATAATGAAAATAATATAATAATAACAATGGATATATGAATCAGAAAGTATTATACAGATACAGATTTTCTTTATTGTCATTCGCACCACATGTGGTACATGTGGTGGATTAAAATTATGTACACAGGGTCCCAGTTACATCCAACAATAAAATGTAAAAAGCCTGCGATGGAGACCTGTCAGGTGCAGACTCCACTGATGAAGCAGGAGCAGAAGCCGGCAGGCTTGGAGGGTTTAATGTGGCGTTTAGAGATGAACCTTCATGCGCTGAAATACGTTCTGGATAAAATACAGTGAGAAACAGGACCGGAGGACAGTTAGAGTTTATGCAAATTAGCTTAGCATCGTAGCACCGATGTTGTCCTATTATGGCATCAGCCTCTTTTGTTAGTTAAAAATATGTTCAGAACCGATGGGATGAGTAACTTAAAATATGTTTAAAGTTAGAAAACACTCACCATCTTCTATAACTGATTCAAGTAGAGCAGTGGCCGTGTCCAAACCACCCTCCAATCGCTCCATCTAGCTCGATTTGACTTTTTTCGTCGGCCACCAAGCACAACAACACCTGCACTTCTGCATTTGACAACGGCTTTGATATTATTGTTTTTGTATAACTTCAAAATACTAAAAGATACGCTCCTCGAGCTATCGCTAATGGCAGCCAGTAGAGAAAAATGGCGGATCGGGTTGTTTGGAAAGACTCCACTGACTCCTCCCCCCGACCAATCAGTGACCGACAGTGTTTCTGACGTCACGGCTCGGCTCGTTTGGACCCCTTGAGAAGCCGGGCCAGAATTTAGGGAGGCGAGCCGGTCCCAAGAACCATGGAAAAGACCTCAAACACGCATCAAGCCGGAAATATCCGATCCGCGCTATGACAGTGGAAAAGGGGCATTAGAGATAGGGTGAGAAGTTCAGTTATCAGGAGAGACTCAGAGTAGAACCGCTGCTCCTCCACATCAAGAGGAGCCAGTTGAGGTGGTTTGGGCATGTCCGACTGGGAGGAGACCCCGTGGAAGACCCAGGACACGCTGGAGAGACTATGTCTCTCAGTTGGCCTGTGAACACCTTGGGGTCCTCCCAGAAGAGTAGGAAGAGGTGGCTGTGGAAAGAGATGTCTGGACTTCCGTGCTCAAGCTGCTGCCCTGAGACCTGCCTTCAGAACGAGTGGAAGATGATGGATGGATGGATGGATGGATTCATTAAAAAAGGGAAGAAGAAGTTTGTCACTAAAAAATACAATATTCACTAAAGGTTAGATAAAAGGCATGGTGGCGCAGTTGGTAGAACTGTTGTCTCTAAGTGATACGGTTGCTGGGATGAATCCCAGTCAGCGATCTTTCTGCGTGGCATTTGCATGTTCTCTCTGTACTGTGTGGGTTTTCTCCGAGTACTCCAGTTTCCTCCCACAGACCAAAAACATGCGTTAGGCTGATTGGTAACTCTAAATTGTCTCTAGGTGTGAGTGAGAGTGTGAATGGTTGTTTGTCTTATGTGTCTCTGTGTCCCTGTGATGGACTGAAGACCTGTCCAGGGTGTACTCCGCCTCTCTCACAGTGACTGCTGGATATGAGCGCCAGTGACCCCCGTGACTACGACAGGAAGAAGTGGGTGAAGATAATGGAAGGATGGATGGTATGGATTAAAAAAATGGCAAATTGGCCTAAAATGTGAAAGGACTAAAGGATCCAAGCTTTTATTTAGGGAGAGTTTATGATGTAATCTCACTATCGAGGTATGTATTGAACCATGATCCTCATAATGAGTTACATACTGAACCATGACTTCATACAGAGTGATATGTAAAACCCCAAGACTTCTCAAATAGTGGACAGCTGTTGTGATCCAGACCAAAATATATTCTTGTCTGGACCTTGATTTGTTGATTAGTTTAAACTGGACTTAATATTTTTACTTACAGTGCCTTGCGAAAGTACTGTATTTGGCCCCCTTGAACTTTTCAACCTTTTGCCACATTTCAGGCTTCAAACATAAAGATATAAAATTTTAATTTTTTGTGAAGAATCAACAACAAGTGGGACACAATCGTGAAGTGGGATGAAATTTATTGGATGTGTCAAATTTTTTTAACAAATAAAAAACTGAAAAGTGGGGCGTGCAATATTATTCGGCCCCCTTGCATTAATACTTTGTAGCGCCGCCTTTTGCTGCAATTACAGCTGCAAGTTGCTTGGGGTATGTCTCTATCAATTTTGCACATCGAGAGACTGAAATTCTTGCCCATTCTTCTTTGCAAAACAGCTCGAGCTCAGTGAGGTTGGATGGAGAGCGTTTGTGAACAGCAGTCTTCAGCTCTTTCCACAGATTCTCGATTGGATTCAGGTCTGGACTTTGACTTGGCCATTCCAACACCTGGATATGTTTATTTGTGAACCATTCCATTGTAGATTTAGCTTTATGTTTTGGATCATTGTCTTGTTGGAAGATAAATCTCCGTCCCAGTCTCAGGTCTCTTGCAGACTCGAACAGGTTTTCTTCCAGAATGGTCCTGTATTTGGCCCCATCCATCTTCCAATCAATTCTGACCATCTTCCCTGTCCCTGCTGATGAAAAGCAGGCCCAAACCATGATGCTGCCACCACCATGTTTGACAGTGGGGATGGTGTGTTCAGAGTGATGAGCTGTGTTGCTTTTACGCCAAACATATCATTTTTCATTGTGGCCAAACAGTTTGATTTTGGTTTCATCTGACCAGAGCACTTTCTTCCAAATGTTTGGTGTGTCTCCCAGGTGGCTTGTGGCAAACTTTAAACAACACTTTTTATGGATAACTTTGAGAAATGGCTTTCTTCTTGCCACTCTTCCATAAAGGCCAGATTTGTGCAGTGTACGACTGATTGTTGTCCTATGGACAGACTCTCTCACCTCAGCTGTAGATCTCTGCAGTTCATCCAGAGTGATCATGGGCCTCTTGGCTGCATCTCTGATCAGTCTTCTCCTTGTTCGAGATGAAAGTTTAGAGGGACGGCCAGGTCTTGGTAGATTTGCAGTGGTCTGATACTCCTTCCATTTCAATATGATTGCTTGCACAGTGCTTCTTGGAATGTTTAAAGCTTGGGAAATCGTTTTTTATCCAAATCCAGCTTTAAACTTCTCCACAACAGTATCTCGGACCTGCCTGGTGTGTTCCTTGGTCTTCATGATGCTCTCTGCGCTTTGAACAGAACCCTGAGAATAGCACAGAGCAGGCGCATTTATACGGAGACTTGATTACACACAGGTGGATTCTATTTATCATTATCAGTCATTTGGGACAACATTCATAGATCTTCACTGAACTTCTGGAGTGTTTGCTGCACTGAAAGTAAAGGGGCCGAATAATATTGCACGCCCCACTTTTCAGTTTTTTATTTGTTAAAAAAGTTTGACACATCCATTTAATTTCATTCCACTTCTCGATTGTGTCCCACTTGTTGTTGATTCTTCAAAAAAATTAAAATTTTATATCTTTATGTTTGAAGTCTGAAATGTGGCAAAAGGTTGAAAAGTTCAAGGGGGCCGAATACTTTCTCAAGGCACTATACACACATTTTCTCGCATTTAGAGTAATCATTTTTAAGAGCTTGTCTTTTATAACATTAACAGTATGGAGTGCCTAGTTCTTGTTTGTAGGATTTTACTGCTAAGTTAAGAACTCAATAAAAGAATACGAGTAAAGAAACTGCACGGCTGTCGTTAAAGAGCACGAGTTGAGAGGGAAACTGGAGGTTTTTGTTCAGACTGAAAGGACTTCTATGAGCTAATTATTTCCCTGTGGAGAGTTTAATACAATCCAATCTGTCCATCTCTCAACATTACATTTACCCGCTTCTTCCTTTTTGGGTCATGGGGGTCACTGGTGCCCATGTCCAGATATCACTGTGTGAAAGGAGGGGGACACTCTGGAAAGGTCTCCAGTCCATCACAGGGACACCTGGACAGATCTCCAGTCCCTCACAGGGACGTCTGGACAGGTCTCCAGTCCATCACTGGGACGCATGGAGACAAATGAGACAATCAACCATTCAGTCTCACCTAGGGCCAATGCAGTGTTATCAATTAACCTCTTGGTTTTTGGTCAACTGGAAGAAATAGGAGTTAACTCCACATAGAAAAGCCTCAGGTCAGGAGGGAATCCTGCAAACGTCTTGTTATGAGGTGAAACCACAGCACAAATGTGCTGAGTGTTTAAAACCCGTCTTCTTACATACTTGCTCTTGACCTTTGCTTGAGAAGATTTTTTAAGGGGACCTTGCTGAACTTTTATTGAAATCCACTGTCCTAGATCTGAAGGACGGTGGGTTTCTTTTCCTCGTGACCGTATGTGAGTATGAGCAGAAATGAAGTGAAACAGAAGGTGAGGACAGATAAGAGGAGTGCAGTCTGAAATAATGGAGACAGTTTCGTTAGTTTAGCACCCTGACAGCAGAGCTGAGAGAGATTTTCAGGCAATCCAAGGAGAAAATAAAGTTTGACGTCTTTTCCTTTTACAAAACTTGACTGGTTCTAAGATGGAGGCAGCACAGAATACTCACTTAAATAAGAAGTGTTAGTAGCTGAACTGGAGTGAGGCAGAAAAGAGTCCAGCACTTTCCTCTCTGAGACGAGGTGCTGGCTGACTGGGGGGGTCTGAAGATGACAGTGGTGGTTTTTGGGATGGTGGAGGGGGTGGTGAATGAGAGGCGTCTCTTTACCAAATGTGGAGAATGAATTGTCAGCTGTTTGCTCTGGGCTTTCAAATACCTCTGTGTCTGGGACTGAGTCCATGCCAGGCACATGGAGGTTGCTACGGTAGTCCAGACCCTGGCGCCCATCGGAGGCCACAAAGCTCGGCATCCAGCAGCGGTCAGAGTGACCCAGGGCCTTGCACTCCTCTGTGCAGTTGGAGAACAGATCTGCACCTGCAGAACAGGGGTGAGAAGAAAAGGTTACAGGAAGGCAGGGGGGGTGGGGGTTAACTGGAGGTTTCAGACTGAGACACAAAATGGTAAATGGTAAATGGACTGTACTTATATTGCGCCTTTCTATCTGATCAAGATACTCAAAAGTGCTTTACACCACAATCTGTGTCCTCATTTATACATTCACACAGCACTCTACTAGACCTCTACAAAGCTGAACAAATCATTCTAAAGAGAATAATCAGAGCTTTATCACATTCATAAATAGGGATGCACGGATCCACTTTTTTCACTTCCGATCCGATACCGATGTCTGTTGCCCCGGTATCAGTCGATACTAATCCGATGCAATACAGTGCTGGATTATCAATATCATCCTCATCATCGATTTTATATGAGGCTGTATTAATCTCCTCTTAAGTACAATTTGTACAAATCTATGCATGCATATCCAAAAAGGCAACTTGAGGTAAGTTTTATTAATGTTGGATAAGTTTTAAAGTTAGAATTAAATTCTGCTAACACAAAACATGTTTGTTTTTATTCCTAGCTTTAAAGTGGATCATAAAGTGATTAATTTAAGTGATTGTTTAAAGGTTTTTTTTTTTGTTTTTGTTTTTTAAATAAGGGGCAGATATAAGATTTTTCTTCTTTCTGCACTCTTTTCATTCAATGTTTTCTTTTTGATTAATTTGTTTTGTTTCTTTTAAATGAATGAATAAATGAATAAAATAAAATGTTAAATGGCTTCAAACACCTGCTAAGTTCATGGCATAAACCAACAGGTATGTTCCTGTTTCAAGTTATTTACAAAGTACATCACTAAATAATGTACTGTAGCTGTTTTTGTTTTGTTTATATATATATATATATATATATATA